GGCTACAGTCCATGGGGTCACAAAGAGTCGGACACAACTAAGTGACTAATACTTCACTTTCAATATGTCTGGAAGGGGCCTGAGATTCTGCATTTCTGTAACAAGTTTCACAGGACGGTCCTCAGACCATTCTCCTAACCAGCTGCAGATCAGTGAGTGATGACTGTGTATGCTGGAGTTTAAGAATCATTGCCCAATAAATAATGCCTAAGATTGCTTCCACTTCTGAGATTCTGTTAACTTTTTTAAAAAAAACATTATTTTTAAAAGGTAGCCATATTCTATCTCTTTTATCATAAAACAGTGCATTTTTGTGAACTTGTATAGGACTCGGAGGAGAGCCAGGCATTTCTGTTATGGTCAGGTTTCCATGTGTTTGCTTTAGCAAGGTTATTCTTTATCTCATTTCAAGTGGAACAAGTAAATCTGATGATTTTATACATTTTAATTTGAGACACAGAGAATTATAGTAACATTTTTGTTAGAAAAAAGGGTATATTTCAATGATGCATTCATAACAAGGGACCTTCCTGGATGTGACAGTGGTTTGCGGGAAGGATCTGTTTTCCCCTTGTCCCAAGTGTATTTCTCCACTACTGCCAACGCCTTCCCCTCTTCCTTCCAGCTGAGACCCGTCAGGGAAAGATTGCTACTTCCTCACCTACCCATGAAGTCCAGGCTTGGACACCTTGGTGTATGGCCTCTTCTTCCCTGGATCTGGATACTAACAATAGCCTAGCACCACTCACATATGAAAAAATGCAGCAGTCACCTTCCTCCTACGCTTAGGGCTCAGTGCCTAGGCTTTTTGTAACAAGGGTGACTCATTTAAGAACAACTTCTTATATCGCCTTGTGAAGGGCTTTATTCAGCCACAGCAGGGATAGCACAAGTGGTGTCTTAATTGAACAATTAGTTCATGAATGAGTCAATAAAGATTTGATGAAAGGGTGGCACTCACTATATGCTACCTGATTTTCCTTTGTTTCTTTTTTTCAGGTTGAATTTAATATGTAGAAAGTTGAGCTTATAAAGTTGATAGAGAAGGAAATGAATTTGTTTTAATGGGAATCTTAAGAAATATTCAAGATGGAATATATAATTTTCTACATGACCACTCCTAGGAATTGATCTTTCTTGCTTTATTTGTTGATATCATAAAAGTCCAGACAAAAGGAAATTGTAAAAACTTTAAATATGTAGCCAGGCAGACATTCTTATGTCCCAGGAGGGGGTGGGGGCGGGGTATGGTGAAGCAAAACAGGGCGAAGAACTGCTAATAAGACCAAAAAAGGAAAAATGAATTTATAAAGAAGACCAGAAAATCTCAGGAGGCATGACATTGCTGATGAACTGGAATATTCCAGATGCTATAGAGATAGTCATTGCTTATCCCTTTCTCACCAAGAGGTCTCTGCTAAATCTGTCCAAGGTTTATTTATGGGGTTTGTTTTTTTTTAATGACATATTCCTCTCTCATTCCTATCTCCCTGTCTCTTCTCTCTCTGCTTCCTCTCATCTTTTCTCTGACATCGCTTCCTTCTCTCTTTCTTTTTCTCACTCCCCGCAATCTTCTCTCTTCTTCCTTCCCCTTCTTTTTCTCATTTCTTCCTCCTTTCCTGTCTGTGCCACATACTGTTCTAAGTGCTAGAAAGATGTCTCACTCACAACCACCTATGAAGTGTCTTACTAACCCCATGTTAGAGATCACTGTTGTAAGGGAAAAGACAGCAGGCGTAAGGAGGTTAAATAATCTCCCAACCTGACTCTGGGCAGAGTTTGAATGATCCAGGAGGGGACTTCCTTAATGGTCCAGTGGCTGAGACTCTGTGCTCCCAATGCAGGGGGCCTGGGTCTGATCCCTGGTTGGGGAACTAGATCCCGCATGCCACAGCAAAGGATCCCACATGCCACAGTGAAGATCAAAGATCCCATGTGCTGCAACTTAGACCTGGCACAGTAAAATAAATACATACTTTTTTTTGTAAATTTCCTTTTATCTAGAAATTGTATACAACTCCAGTTCCATAACATGATAGATTGATCTCTCTCCCCAAACAGAGTTGGCTCTTGTGTCCTTTAGAGGCCCCATGTTAGACGATCTTCTGAATACTCTGTCTTTTCCAAACACAGATGGGCTTTTGTGACTCCATGCCTGCTACATAACACCTTCTTTGCTTGGTTGCCTTCTCCTTTGCCTCAAACTCCTGCTCACTGTTCAGAACCCAGACCTCCTCTGTTGTGAAGCCTTTCCTGATGCTTACAGGCTGAATCAGTTACTCTTCACTCTGCATGAAGACAGGAATGTACCCACAGTTTCATTTTAGAACTTACTGCATTGTCCTGGATTATTCATGTATTTGTGCTGCCCACTAGACTCTAAAGTCCCCAAGAGAAGGAATGGGATCTTATTCACTGACAAACAAACCCAGTGTTTTCACTGTGAAGAGGGATGTATATTATGTAAGAAAAGCATGATTAATTTGTAACCTATATACTGTAACATCAGTGGTATTGATCTTAAATATATAAACTAAAATTCTACATATAAACTGATTTAAACAAACATTTCCTATACAAATTTGACTTTATAAAATTTAAAATTGGTTTATTATTTTGTCTTTAAGTTCCTCTACATTAAGAGTTCTTGTGATTTAAACGTGCCATGGTACAGGAAAATATGAAGTACAGATACTTTTTAAAAATACTTCTATTATGTAAAGTGAAGTTCACTCTGTCTTTCCCTCCCCTTTGCCCATGTGTGTACAGACAGACAGGCAGACACACATACACACTGAATATGCAAACTGGTCAGTGAATAGCTTTAGACATTTTCATAGTTTGCAACTTTGGGTTAAGAATCTTTTTTTCTCTATGCAGTTTATTCATATTAATAAGGTATAAGTGTTCTACTGATAACACCAGTATAAATTTAGGACTTTAACGACTATGTTGCAACAGTTGTCAGTATTCGTATACCTTTGTCCAATATTATATTGCATAGTATATATATATATATGTACACAAGAGCACACTATACACACCCATATATATGTACACTCACAACATTTTTTTTTTTACTTCTTTTGCTTTCTTTCTAAGTTCAAACATATGTGTTTGGTTAATGCTTTTTGGATATAAAATGTTTTCTTAAAATGATACATATACACATATATGTATGTGTATGTGGGTTGCATATATGTGAATATTCACTATATATATTTCTATTATGTATATATACATATATAGTATGTGTATATATGCACATATACACACAGTATATAGTCTGCATATACATATATATATATATATATATATATATACACACACATACTGTATTTAGTCTACATGTACATACACGCACACACATTACATTACAGCTTGCCATGTATTAATATATAGTTTCTGAGTTTCCTTATCCTTTGAGGCCAGCTAATGATTTCCAGGTAATGAGACTGAAGGTATATCTGAACATTCTGGACCAAAGAATGTTAATGCAGCTACCAACCTGGAGATGCTCTTACCTGGTGAGCACTCTGTCATGAAATCCCGAGTTGAGTGTGTTCTATAGATTATGTTGTTTACTCTGTTGGGATCTCTCCTGTCATTATTTTGTGCTCTGGTGAACGATTTCGAGTCGTATGACTGACAAATGGTACAAGTGATAATGCTGGATCTGTCATAAAGAAACAAAGAATATGATTGCCATTGCTGCACCTCCAAAGGGATTTTGTTTAAATGACCCCCTAAAATGTTGATCCATTATATGTTCTTGGGTTCCTCTCTCCCATCGGTCTCACCGTCTTCTGCTCTCCGGTTAAGCACAGTGTTCTTGTATATTGCTCTATATTCATTTAACTTATTTATCACATCTTTACTGCAAATTTAGATATAGTAGGTCTAGGATTTATGTTCTCTTCCTGCTGTTAGTAGCTTTTTCTTAAGTGAGAAAGATAATTGTGATTTCTTTTTATCTGAAAAAAATTTTTTAATAATCATAGACTCGGTAGCAATACATCAGAGCCAATATCTTGGGCCAGGAAAGAACACAAGATAGTTTGACAGGGCCTCAGGTAATTGTAATGTACAACCAGGGTTAAGGATCACCACTCAGTAGAAGAAATATGTCTATTTATTATGTAAGGAGTTGATTTTTCATCTGAAATGCTTTTGAAACATAAGAAAATCTTCCCCACATGACTATTTTATAGTATTTTCCTCTTTGGGGGTTCCCTGGTGGCTCAGTGGTAAAGAATCTGCTTGCAATGCAAGAGACCACCTACAATGCAGGGGACAGGGGCTTGATCTCTTGGTTGGGGAGATTGCCTGGAGTAGGAAATGCAACCCACTCCAGTATTCTTGCCTGGGAAATCTCTTGGACAGAGGAGCCTGGTGGGCTACAGGCCATGGGGTCACAAAAGAGTCGAACACAACTTAGCAACTAAACCACTACTCTCATTTTTTCTCTTCCACAATTGAGAATTAGTTTTCAAAGGAATCCGGATGCAGTTATCTCAGAATTTGGCTGAGAATTCTTAAGTGGGAAGGGTATACTAAAAGGATGGTGCATCTTGGTTGTTATGCAGAGAATAAATATGTATAAGCATGCATGGAACGGCATTCTCTAGGTCACTCTGTTCTTTCCCTGGAATGCTGAGTGAAGGTTGCTTTTCCAGGAGATTAAAAGTGATTCACCTAAAGCTCTGATATCTCTGTATTTGACAAGGAGTGTTGAGCTGAGGATTCAGGCAGCCCTGTCTACTTAGGGACATCAGGAATTTCAGGAACTATAAAAGGACAGCTTTGTAGCTGCCCACGGTCAAAGCTATACACAAGTACCTTCAGTAATGATAAACCACAGAGTCTGGATTGATTCCAGATGAAGGAAAATGAAAATGACACCTGTATGACGCTTCTGCACTGGTTTCTACTCTGAAAGTGGTTCTTCACTGGTTTCTACTTCTGAAAGTCATTCAGAAAATGCTTGTTTTTCTCCTTAGGTTCGAACCAGTGTTGTGCCTGAACATAAGGATCCCCCACCAGAGGTTGGGGTAAGTGTGTCTTCTGTTTCCAAAAGGCATGCATGTTGCTTCTAATCTAATCATTTGGATTTTTCTCTGGCCTACTGCCTGGTAGCTGAAAGTAAATTTGAATTAAATTAACTGGATGTGACTATGCAAGGAGACATTGTCACATATTTGCTGAATTGCATGGACTTCATTCCTTTTCTCCTGAAAATCATCATGATGTGAATTCATCCTTAGTTCAGTTGGATAGAGAAAAGTCTAGAAATTGCCCTGCAGGAAACTGAGATGCCATTGGAACCAACATTCCTGGACCAGCAGGAGGCTGGGAAATTGAAGATGTGAGCTCTACCTGTCCAGCAAGGAGACAGAGACCTGATAATGGGACTGTGACGTTTCTGCTCCCTGTGGCTTCAACACTGTTGAGTTTAGTCATTTAGTCATGTCCAACTCTTTGCAACCCCACCGACTGCAGCACTCCAGGCTTTCCTGTCCTTCACTATCTTCCAGAGTTTGCTCAAACTCACATTCACTGAGTCGGTGATGCCATCCAATCATCTTCTGCTGTCCCCTTCCCCTCCTGCCCTCGGTCTTTCCCAGCATGAGGATCTTTTCCAGTGAGTCAGTTCTTCGCATCAGGTGGCCAAAGTATTGGAGTTTCAGTTTCAGCATCAGTCCCTCCAATGAATATTCAGGGTGGATTTTCTTTAGGATGGACTGGTTTGATCTCCTAGAGTGCAAGTCAAACAGAAACTGCCACGAAAGTATGGCCCAGTGTTGGGAGATCGAGCTAAGGTTTTCCTGCTGCATCAGAATCATCACCTCTCCGGCTTTTAGAGGTTGGGAGAACAAGAGGTTAATAGGTGATTTTGCTTAGACAAGGCAGCGGAAGCTCTTGAAAAGATAGCCCAGGAGGCTTGTCCCTGGGATTTTGCATTCAGAAAAGAGGAAAAAGTCCAGAGTTGAGTCTAAGAGACCCTGTGGCTGAGCCAACTGAAAGGCCTATTTGAAATTCCCTGAAGTCCTACATGCAATTAGCAACGTTCTTCCGGCGGGTGTGGGGAACCCTGTACTAGGTAGCATTCACTTCCTCATTGGCCACAGCTGCTCTTCCAACTGGCCAAAGGGAGCCATCCAGAAAGTGTGAACTGGCTGCAAAGTGAGTCAGCCGCCTCTGCATCTGTTAGCGGAGGCGAAGAAAACTGATGCTTCATGCTCGCTCGTGCTGAACACTGACTTCAAGTTTCTTCCTGGGGCAGGTTGCATAACTCCGGTTCAAGTGAATTTTCATGCTGTGTTTCCTGCCTGTCCTTTTAACCTCTTTTGCTCTTCTTACATCCACCACCAGTGTCACTGCCAAGACTGCAGGGGCTTCTATACTTTTCCCCAAGGGACCAGCAAGTCCTTCCAGCCTCAGGCTTCCCTCCCAGCAGGCCCCATGCAGTCTCCCTGCCCAGCTGCTGCTCCCTACTGGTGCCATCTCCCATTCCAAGATTTTGGTTTGCCAACTATCTTGTATTTGTTTAGACCACCAGAATACAAAGGGAGTGTGTGTCCAAAGATAATCACATAACAAGAATCTAGTACATTGTAGGACACATCAGATAACAGTGAAATGGCAGTTATATTGCTGAACATAAGCATGATAAGCATGAGCCTAAATAAAAATAAGTCAGCATGCCTTGGGGGCTTCCTTGGTGGCTCAGAAGGTAAAGAATCTGCTTGCAATTCAGGAGACCCACGTTTAATTCCTGCATCAAGAAGATTCCTTGGAGAAGGGAATGGCAACCCACTCCAGTATTATTGCCTGGAGAATTCCATGGACAGAGGAGCCTGGTGAGCTATAGTCCATGGGGTTGCAAAGAGTCGGACATGGCTGAGCAACTAACACTTTAAAGCATGCTTTGGCTTTCTAACATTCTCAAAATACTTGATATTCGGATAGGGGAGAATTGCCACACCTTGAGGCGCTATGAAGGACCACTGGTTGATATACATCTCATCACTCCTCAGAACATTTTTTTTGGATACTGAAAAAAGTCCTGAGGGTTTAAGTTCTTGGTCAACGTGTCACGAACTCTAACCACTAAGTGCTCCTATTTTAAAAATGAGCTAAACATTTTATTATAAATCTTTCAAATACATTCCACACATCTCTTTGCATTCTTCAGCAGCACCTATTAGATGCACCCACACCTTTGTTGATGACTTAGTCAGGTGCATACCAATTTGTGCTGTGAGAACTTTTCAGGTATATTCATAATAAAGCTGTAATTTTATAATATATATGACTTCACCCTAAAGTGCTTTTTAATGTTTTTTGTAGACTCTTCATCACGTTAAATATATTTCCTCTCAGTTGTTTTTTTTTTTTAAATTTCTGATGTATTTTTTCAGCCCAAATAGTTCATGTATGCTCTGTCCCTCCCTGTGGGGTGGGAGACTGTGCAACCATGTCTGTTAGGGTTGAGATCAAAGAAAAAATACTTGTACGAAGGTGTATGAAGAAAGTCCTGTCCTGTAAGTTGTTTGTAGGAGATGTTATGTATCAGCCTCACGATATCAACTTCAAGTTTTCAAAGACCTTTTACAACTTACACCACAGTTACTCTATATAGTTTTATGAGAATAGGACAGAGTATAACAGACATATACATTTAACCTCAAAACCAGCACTACTAGAAATATAATGTGTGCTATATATATAATTTAAAATTTTCTAGTAGCCCATGCTTTTAAAAGTGTAAAAAGATATAGATAAAATTAATTATAATATTTTATTTAACCCTATCTATGCAAAAAAAAAAATACTTGTACAAAGGTATGAAAAAAGCCCTGTCCTGTAAGTTTGTAGGAGATGTTATATATCAGCCTCACGATATCAACTTCAAGTTTTCAAAGACCTTTTACAACATACACCACAGTTACTGTATATACTTTTATGAGAATAGAACAGAGTATAAAAGACATATGGCAACCCACTCCAGTATTCTTGCCTGGAAAATCCCATGGACTGAGGATCCTGCTAGGCTACAGTCCATGGGGTCGCAAAGAGTTGGACACAACTGAGCGACTTCACTTCATGCAAAAGTATTATCATTTTAAAATATAATCAATGTAAAAATCATTAATGATATATGTCACACTCTTTTCATATCACATCTTATAACTGATGTGTATTTATACATAGAATACATCACAATTCACCATAGCCGCAAACTAGTGCTCAAGCTGGATAATGCAGCTCTGGACAGCACTTGAAAAATTTGGGGCAGTTCACACAAGTCGAAGTATAAAGAAAACCTATTACTTGGAATAAAGGCTTTGTGAGATGAACATAGGTGTTGGAGGTATGCCTATAGGGGCAGTACTTCCACTGGGTCCTGGTGTAACACGGTACCAGACTGCTGAGGACCTGCTTCAGGGAAGTATGCAGCCCTGCTGAGCACCCTGGATGTCTGTGACTCAGAGTCCTTGCTGGGACTGGGGGGAGAGACTGTTTATGTGTGCACTCCCCATAGAGCAGGGCTCGGATTGACACAGATGGCTTGCTTTCTCCACCCTGCTTGATATCACTCTCCAGCCAGGTGAATGATTGAAATCGTGCATCTAGCAACATAATAGTCATCTACTTTGGGTGCTTGCATCAGAATAATTGTGAGTGTCGCATCGTCATGAGCAGGCCAGAAAGGTCAGAGCCACACAGAGTTGGGACAGAGAGCCTGTCAGAAGGAAAGGGGATTGCCACCTGTCCTGGAAATAAGGCCCACAGCATGAGGCAGGATGAAAGAATTCTGGACTGAAGAGTAAGAAACCTGGATTCTAACTTGGCCTCTGCATGTTAACTAGTTTTGTGATGGGGTGTAAGCCAGTTAACTCCTATGGGTCCCTGATTTTTATCTACAGGCAGGCCATGTCTCCACAAGTATTAACTTTCTTTGATTTCATCCAGACTCCATGAGTATTAACTTTCTTTGATCTCATCCAGACATTTCTTGGTCTCTGATAAACATTCCACATGATCTAATAAAAATTTGAGTTACAAGAAAGCATAGCTATCATGTACTCAGCACTATGAACTGCAAGGGACCACATAGCATTCATATCTCCTTTTCACTAGGGTGTTTTTCAGTNGAAGAGCTGACTCATTTGAAAAGACCCTGATGCTGGGAAAGATTGGGGGCAGGAGGAGAAGGGGACAACAGAGGATGAGATGGTTGGATGGCATCACCAACACAACGGACATGAGTTTGGGTAGACTCCGGGAGTTGGTGATGGACAGGGAGGCCTGGCGTGCTGCAGTTAATGGGGTCACAAAGAGTGGGACATGACTGAGCGACTGAACTGAAATTGAAAGTCAAAGGCCTAATGTGGTGGAATGAATTGTGCAGTTCCTAGGTCTGTGAGAGAGAAGACAGACCTACAGAGCTCTTCAATGCCCATCAGTAGACAACTAGCCTGGGGGCTTGGAGAAATGATATATTTGCCCAGATTTTAATTTTTGGATATAATCCTGAATTTAGAACAGCACTTCAGACCCCTGACTCTAGTGACACTATTTTTTTTTTTAAATTTTCCCCCTAATATTGGAGCTTCTACTTTAAAACTTTTAGGATAAGAATTTTAGAAACAACATTGAAGGAGAGATAAAGATGTTCCTAAGTTATACGTGCAATGTAAAAAAATTGTTAAAAATAATTTTCTTAAGTTATATGATTATGATTAAAATGATAGTAAGATAGAGTAACTATATTAAGTTTTTCTTTTGCATTAGTACTGTGTGCTATTTTCCCTCCATGGGAATTCAAGTTTCAGGAATAGAGAAGACTATTTTCTCTAATTCATCCTTTTACCAAGAGTCCAGTGAATATTCATGTAAACGAATGATATGTTTTCCACCTTCTGAGGTGTGGAAGGTCATAATCTTATTAATATTTTCATTGAAGTGAAGCAAGCACACCTGCTAGAAAGTAAATGTATGGACAAGTCCATTGGTCAGTATTGCAATGTGAATTATGCACTGTCTGTAAATTGGGGGATTTTATTAATGCTTTTTATTTGTTTTTTTATTTTTAATTGAAGGATAGTTGCTTTATGATGTTGTGTTGGTTTATGCCATACAAAAACATGAATCAGCCCTAAGTATACATACATCCCTTCATCTTGAGCTTCCCTCTCACTCTCCTGCATCCCACCCCTCTAGGTAGTCATAGGGCATTTTTTGCAACATGAAGTCCTAGTGTATAGTTACTTTTAGAGTAAAATTTTAAAATTTTAGAATGTATAACACTTGCTCCGGTTTGACATGGTTTCATAATACCATTGGGCTTCTCAGGTGGCTCAGTGGTAAAGAATTCACCCGTCAAGGCAGGAGACGAGATGAGGATTCGACCCCTGGGTTGGGAAGATCCCATGGAGAAGGAACTTACTACTCCACTCCAGTATTCTTGCCTGGGAAGTTCCATGGACAGAGGAGCCTGGTAGGCTGCATGCAGTCCATGGGGTTGCAAAGAGTTGGACATGACTTACCAACTGAGCACACGTGACACCTAAGGTGGTTTGAAATGGCGTGTGTGATTTCTGCAAGCTCTCTCAAAGGGTATTGTCCTTTGAAGTTAGTCATGGCACTGAGAGTTGTGATGGAGAAGACTGACTCACGAGCAGCCTTTTTTGGAACACTGCAAGCTCTCACAGCGCAGCAGTGAGCGTGGCATACAGTCCCTGTGTTCTGAGCCATGGACTGAGCTAGAAGATGCATGAGCCAGGGGCCTGCTTCCTCAGCAGCTCCGGGTCTGGTGGGCAGGAGAGACATCAGTGGCTTGTGGTCACAGACTACTTGCAGCTGTGTCCCTTGGTGTGTCTGTAGAGCGTTTCTGAAAATAGCCCCTCCACCTGTTCCTTCCTACATTCCCGTCTGGGACATCTGCCACTTTTATTGCTGAAAAGACCACAATAACATGCATAGCATGTGCAGTTTGTTTTCTTAATTCTAAAACTATCTCTACCTTCAAAATCTCAAAAGGCAGAGGGAGGAAATAAGTTGAATTTTGGGGACACTGACATTTCCACTGAGTTAAGCATTTTCTTCAAGTGGGGATAATGAGTGAGGGGTGGCATTTAAATTAAAACCCCTAATTACCAGTGAAAGAGTTAAGTGAAACATGTCTTCAAAGCACTTAAATGCTAAAGTGAAATTCACTAACATAGTACACAATCTGCAGGCTCAAAAATTGTTTTGGTTTCCCACAGTTCAGTGGACTATGTGCTTAGTCACCCAGTTATGTCCGATTCTTTGTGGCCCCATGGACTGTAAGCCTACCAGGCTCCTCTGTCCATGGGATTTTTCCAGGCACAAACACTGGAGTGGGTTGCCATTTCCTACTCCAGGGTGTCTTCCCAGCCCAGGGATAGAACCCTGCATCTCTCTCGTCTCCTGCATTGGTTGGCAGATTCTTTACCACTAAATAGTTTGTAAATATCTGCAGGAGGATTTCTTTTATGTATCATAGAATAACTTACTTGAAAGGTAGTGTGTATGCCATCTGTTCATTGATTTATCATTACTCACTATCACACACCTAATGTGAAGCACTGTTTTAGCAGAAAGCAAAACTCATTGGGGAACTTCAAATCTCAATTTTTATTTTGAGGGGAGGGAAAAATAGGCAATTAAATACATAGTATTTAAGTGACAATAGAAACAATACATCAGGATAAGGAATGGAGACTAGCAGTGGTGGTGGGGGGAGCTCTTTTACACAGAGGCAGCCTAGTAGGCCTCTGCTGAGGTGGTGTAAATGCTTTTGTTCAGCTGGGAATCTCCTCGACTAGCTCGGCCCCTTACTGAAAAGTCACCCTAAATTTCCTGAAGCTTTGTTCATACAGCTCATGGACTTCTTTTCTGCCTTGATTCACTCTCTTCACTCATGTCATCAGACCTTGTTTCCGCAAATTTTCTGTTTTCACGTAACATTCTTCATCTGATAATTTAGTCTTCTGTGATTCTGGATTTGGGACTTGTTGTCTAAACCACCTCTTTGCATTTCATGTGAATCAGTTGGGCTTATCATCACTCACATACTGATATCTCCAACTGGACAACCAAGTTGTATTTCAGATTTTTGCCTTTATGACTTTTGAACCAGTTCTTCTAAGTTAGAGCTTTGAAAAGAGAAAAAAAGTTTTGACCTGAAGCTTTTCTCCCCTGTGGCCAGTGATCCCTTTGTGTAGGTGCAGCCTTTTATGTATGGAATAATTGCACACTTTCCTCTGAAAAGACCCAGTTGACTTAAACCTGGCATCTCATTTTAGGGCAGGCCAGCAACAGACTTATGAGGAGAGAATGTTCTGGAAGATGTAGTGTGGACTTCTTGTAAAGTATTGCAAAGTGTTAGGCAGCAATGGTATGGGTAATAATATGGGTTTGATATTTTCATGTTTACATCTTGACCTTGAAAGGAGAATGAAAAATCCTATTTATGGTATACCATAATATTCTGACTTTTAAACCGCAAGCAGCCAGGAATATTAAAAAGAGATGAAAGATTTTTATCCTGGAAAAGGAAAACCAATTTAGTGTTTTATTCTTCATATTATAAGTCAGAGAATGTAGAAGGTAGATACATTCATAGATAGCCAATACCCAGTATGATAGATTTAGAAAACAATTTTAGAAAATGTAACTAAATAAGTACCATTCTTTTTTGTTTGTTGGAATGAAATTGTCCCATGATAGTGTAGAAATAACAAAGGAGACAAATACTTTTAAACATTGCTGTGATGGGGGAGAAATATAGCATTTCTATTTATAGCTTGTACAGAGTCCCACATAAAAATAGCTTCAACTAACAGATTTGCTCATATCTGGAATACAAAGTGAGTGCTGCCCATGCCTTGAGGAATTCTAATAAGAACAAGCACAGCATTGGTAAACATTGACCGTTTGTTATCTTTTCTTTTATATAAGTTTTCTTATGTGGGGTTTGTTTGTGGAAAAGTCCTGGCTTCTCTGTTGGCTGTTTTATTCTTTTCCAGGCTCTTCCTCTCTGTTTTTAGAGAGAAGGATGAATTCACACCCCCTCAATCTCACCCCGTGAAGTAGATTTATGTTACTGATGGTTGTACTTTAGTCAGTGGAATCTTTGTCGGGCTAATAGAGTTAACATTTCATTCTTCTAAAGGCTAATTTTGTGTGATTGACGTGATACAAAATGTTAAGAATCTCGGAAGTTAATAGAAACCATTCTTTCTTGTTTTCAGCGAAGTTTCCTGGGCTATGCCAGTTTTAAAGTCGGGGAGCTACTGAAGTCCAAGGAGCAAGTGCTGGCTCTGAGCCTGAGGTAGGTCTCGATGCTATTAAAGTTAACAGCCCATCATATTTATGGAATGCTGGTTGGGTTTGAGAAGTTGCTGTTCTTACAGTTGGTTAGATGTCAGCCCTTAAATGGCTTATGTTCTCCACTGCAGTAAGTTACTGGGAAACAGCAATTATTCAAGTTCACATTCAAGTTTGTGTTTCAGACGGTCAAAGGTTATCAGTTCTTGTAGGGGAGGAAAATGATATTATTAACAAACTAGTGCTGGCTAGAGGGGACGGGGTGGTGGGGCAGATGAAAGAGGTGAAGAAGATTAAACAGTACAAACTACCAGTTATATATTATATAAGCCATAGGGGTGTAATATACAGCATGTGGATACAGTCAGTATTATAATAGCTTTGTATGGTGCTTAATCTATAAAAATATGAAATGACTATGTTGTACCCCTGAAGCCAATATAATATTGTAAGCAGCTCTTGTTCAGTATAAAATAAAAAATAAAGTGGTGAAACTTTAAATGAAACTTCAAAAAAAATAAGGGGAGAAAACTCTTTGAAAGTAAGAAAGTAAATAGAAATGATGGGCATGTTATTAAATACTATTTCAAAATTATGTTTTAAATCAGGTGGGTTTCTTGGTTTGAAATATGTTTGTTAGAGGCAACTGGCAGATTTATGATAATAAAGGGTAAGCTGATTATTCTTTTTTGAGCTTATTTTGTTGCTGTATAATTAAATGTAAAACGTAAGTTAAAGTAGATTCATATAGCAACACACAACAGGTTGAGAGATGATTTTGGGGATGATAACAATGGTGGCTTGAATGGTAAATGATGACTCAGACAGTAGAAAGCCCAGGTGGCAATGCAGGAGACCTGGGTTCCATCCCCGGGTTGGGAAAATCCCTTGGAGGAGGGCATGGCAACCCACTCCAGTATTCTTGCCTGGGGAATCCCCAAGAACAGTCCATGACTGGCGGGCTGCAGTCCATGGGGTTACAGAGTCGGACACGACTGAGCGACTAAGCACAACACAGCATGATTTCAGAAGACAATTCAGCAATCTTTAGGAAGTTGCACAGTGTTTTAATACCGGGGAGAGTATTAAGTAATCATTTTTCTTAACTTCCTTATAAGTTAAAAGAAAATAGTATGCTGTTTTCCAATTGTATAATAACTTTAAAATTATGTATGCTTGGAGAATACTACCTTACAATATTTATACAGTATATATAAAGATAAAAATTATATACAGCACTGTTTGTAAATCTTGGATGATTTACATAAGGGAACAGGCAATGTGTCTTAAGTGTGTTTGCCCTCTGCCCAGTCCCTGAGGATTCATTATAACCAATTTATTTCAGTGTAGATGCCACAGCTTATGGTGGAATCTACTGCTGGCTCTCTGCTTTCTGATTTTTCCTGATCCTTATAGATTTGCATTTTGACTTAAGAGATGATTTAAAATGATTTAAAGTAATTCACAGTCTTATAGAAAAATAAGTTTTGATGGCTCCTACAAAGGTTGTTGTATTCTTTTTGGCTTCCTTTTGGCTGTTGTTTTTGTTGTATTTTATTGAGGAAGGCATTTAAAAATGTTTGTAGTTTTGTGATGTTATTCCCGATAGAATTTTGCTGTGGTTATTTTCCATAGGAAGTGTGTAAGTGCCAGCTAAAATGTCCGTCTAGCATTATCATTGATATTCTAGAAGATATCTATTATCCATCTAGCATGGCAGTTAGATTTGACCTGAGTGCCCCAGATTCATGATATGAGATGTCAGACATTGGGCTTGCTGAGAACCACTAGCAGGTTACACGTTTTCTGTGCATGCTACATGACACTTTATTCCTCACCTTGCTCAACACTCCATAGTACTGACTGTATCATAACTGTTGTTAATATCAGCAGCCTACCACACAATATTTAGATACTGGCTTTGAGAAAGATATCAGGAGCCAAGAAATCTTTAGTGGAAGGGAAATACCTGAACACACACAATTAGAGGAAGAGTAGGAACAGGAAGATCTAGTTTAAGGTATTACACTTACAGGTTGAAAAAAGTAACATAATTCTAGATTTACAGGAAATTAAGACACTTTTGACACTTTTGATTTTAAACTCCTGATTCTTATTTATTTGATTTTGATTGTATAAAAGGAAACCAAATTTAGCAACAAAACATTGCATTTTCTAGAAGAAATAAATTTTGAAATGGCTAGGTTGCTGTTTTTATCCCATTTTGCGTTTTGCCAAATTTGTGGATTTCTTTGCCTGTGAACAAGACACATTATACACTTATTATAACCTGTTGATTTCTGGTGCTTTGTGTTTTTACATCTGTTGTAATTTATCTTCTTTCCACTGACTTGGCAGCCTCTGAAGGTACTGAGTCAGAAAAGTGTTAGATCAGGGATGCACGCATGCTTACGTGCTAAGTCGCTTCAGTCATGTCTCACTCTTTGTGACCCTGTGGACTGTAGCTGGCCAGTCTAGGGGATTCTGCAGGCAAGAATACTGGAGTGGATTGCCATGCCTTCCTCTAGGGCATCATCCTGATCCAGGGATCGGACCCACATCTCTTGAATCTCCTGCAGTGGCAGGCAGGTTCTTTACCACCAGTGCCACTTGATCAAGGATAAGAAGTTTTGTGTTTTTTTGATTATTGGTTTTATTTTTACTATGCCTTTACACTAATATATCAGTTTTATTCCTTCTATTCTCTAGTCATTGTTTTTAAAGCAATAGAATTCTCAGATTTCTGTTAAAAAACATTTCACAGAAATAAGGGTATACTTGTCTGCACCATACTTGGATGGCAAATACCTCTAAAACCTGCCTAGTTTTTTTGTGATCACTGTCCCTTTGGGTTGCTTCATTTCAGATAATTCAGATTTAAAGCTCCCAAAGTCGTTCCATGGAGTTTAATAGTTTAATGTGGCCACTGCATCCTGTGTGCTGTGAACTGGGATTTTTGAGTTTGAGGTGAACTTTTTTCCCACAGAAATCTTAAAAAGGGCAAAAAGTGTGTGCCTTATTTATAGACTTAAATTTCATGAAATATGACAGTGCATTTTTGAAATTATAGACTAAAGCCTGTTTGCTTATATTGGGGAGAATGAGACATTATGTGTTTTATGCTCTGATGAGTATATTAGAGATGTTGTTTCATTGACCCTTATCAAATTAGCCTATGATATTACTATTTTTGTCACTTTATATAGTAAGAAACTGAGGTATGGAAAAAGTTAAGTAATTTGCACAAAGTTACAATGCTGTTACATTGCAAAGCCAATGTGTGAAGCCACATACTTCTGTCTGCAAAGCCTGTGCTCTTTTTTAAAAAATTTTTTTTGGAATTTTTCTTTCTTTCTTTTTTTTTTTTTTTTAAATGTGGACCATTTGTTACAATATTGCTTCTGCTTTAATGTTTTGGTTTTTTGGCCTCCAGACAAGTGGGATCCTAGCTCCCCACCTCGGACCAAACCCACATTCCTTGCATTGGAAGGTGAAATCTTAACCACAAGATTGGCAGGGGAGTCCCAAACCTGTGCTTTTAGTGACCCACTTTTTTGTCTCCTTTGACCGAAGAGAAAACTGAGATCGAGTTAAAACATGTCACACATTACATGACTTAGTAATGGCAGAACAAAGCAAGGACACAGGGCAAGGACCACTTGTTCAAGATGTCTTCCACATTGATTTCACCACTCATTTTATAGCAAATGAAGGCCTGATGAGTCCCAGTGGCCGTGGAGAGCTCAGGAATGTTAGCCATAATGGAGTAAGCAAGCATCAGCCTGCTGGGTTTAGGATAAGTGGAGACTGAGGGAAACCCGGGCAATCTCTTCTCACCCCAGAACCATGACCCTATACCTGGTTTACTGCCCAAGCACTTAACAAGTACTTGCTCTGCTAACCTAACCTGAGTCTCTTGGATTTGTAACAAACCAAAATTTAGAACAATGACTTAACAACAGAATGGAGAAGCAGATCTTTCTCTGGCAATGGCTCTAGAGGTCAGAGGAAAAATTACATTGCTCATAAAGTAGTCAGACAATCACAAAGGCAGAAAAAGTAGGGGAGGGTAAAAATTCTTTCCTAGGAAATCCTCCTCAGAAGAACTGAGACAGATAAGAAGTACTGGCTTAGCCAGAAAGTTCATTTGGGTTCCCATAAGTTGTCACCAAAAACCCAAATGAACTTTATGGCCAACCCAACAATTTGATCTTGTCTGACCTTTGCTGCCCATCTCCACGCAGTTCAGATTTCATTCAGTTCTTGCTCACTGAGCAAGCATTTATCATGAATTTTTCATATGCCAACTATAGTGATAGGTTCTTAACAGATTTTTAAAAATAGCAGCAGAGTTCATGTTTTGCAGTTGATACTACTAGTAAGAATGATGACCAAAAAGTCCCGTTATTCATTGAACATCTACTAGCATGCAAGGGATGTGTTGGGTGCTTTTCCTACAGTTTTTAATGTAATTTCTGCAGTTTTATCATCCCGGTTTTTTAGCAGCTTGTCTAAGCTGCTGATTGTAGGATTAGAATTCAGTTTGATTTGACTCCAGAGCTTCCTCTGCTTGGTTTTCCTGCCTGATAGGAAACAAATGATCCCATTTAATCTTTACCCTGTTCTCTACTTTATATTCTATCTTTTGGAAAATTTTAGGGACCTCAACTATTTTTTCTTAATACTTTAACCTTAAAATTCAGTTCTAAATGCCTGTGACATAGTAGAGGTTCAAACATATTTTGCTGGGATTTTGATTCATGATGATGACTTTCTTATATTTTTATGGATGCTAAATGTGAACCTGGTGCCATTTATTTCTGAGTCGGAGAATCCTAAATTAGTGAACATTATGCAACCTAAGTATTAGAGTATATCTGAGGCATGTTACTTCCAGAGTAATAGTGAGTGATGGATTGTAATTGGCTTGAAAAGCTGAAAGCCTTACTTGGAATTCACATTTATTTTTGTGTAGGTCACATTGTCTTGTCATGGGAAACTTTT